CCGCCCAGGTGAGCCCCGCCCCCGCGCGCCCATAGGCGGTGCTGCCGCGCGGGCCCGCCCCCTCCTGGCGCCGGGCCAACCCCGCAACGCCCCCTTGGGCAGGTGAGGGCGAAGCCCCGCCCCTCGGCGGGGGTCATTGGTTGCGCCGCCTGTCTTGGCAAAGTAGGGACCCGCCCCACCCTCGTGCTCGGCCCGCGGCTCCGCCCTGCTCGTCCTGATTGGCTCGTTTGACCCGCGGCTCCGCCGCCATTGGGTGAGGAGCTCGGGCTACAGGCGCCGAGAGGGCGGGAGGTGTCGGCCAATCAGAAAGAGCGCTCTAACTTCTGGCCAATGGGCGCGCGCTCCGCAGGTGAGGGCCTGGGAGTTGCCATGGCGACAGGACAGGGCKCCGGGGAGATCTGCAGCGCCCCCTGGCGCCGGGGCGCTGCGTCGCTGTGATGTCACGCCGCGGTGACGTCACGCTGTGATGTGACATCATGTGGAAATGACATCACGACACAGTGTGATAAAAGCCTGGTGGAGGCCAAAGGGGCTTCAGCCCATGCTCAGGGGGCACACGGGTGACAGGGGACCCAGCCGTGTGTGGGGACACAGGTGACACAAGTCCCCAGGGTCCCATCCCCACCCTGGTCACCACAGGGCTGGGCCCCACGGGGACATCCCAATGGCCCCGTCATCCCCACTGTCCCCTTGTCCCCCTGTGCCCATCTCCCTGGGCACCCATCGCCATTGTCACCCTGTCCCTGGGGCCTCCATCCTCCTGTCCCCTCCTCACCGCCCCCTTTCCCCGTCCTTTCCGTCCCCTCCACCCGCYGGTCCCCACTGTCCCCCCATCCGCCAGCCCCCAGCCCACGTCCCCATTGCGTTGCCCCCCGGCCTGGCCCTGCACCCCAATCTGCACCCAGTTAGCGGCAATTAAGGGTGAGCGCCCCGTGGGCACTGCTGGGTCTGCGTCTCGTGGTGCCCACGTTGGAGCTCACGGTGCCCACRGGGCGCCCGCAGGGAGCTCATGGTGCCCGTGGGGAGCTCGGAGTGCCCATGGGGAGCTCACGGTGCCCGTAAGGAGCTCTCGGTGCCCTCAGGGAGCCCACGGCGCCCACAGTGCCGCTACAGTCATGCGGGCTGAGCTGTGCGCAGGGTCCTGTCGCCCCAGACCCCACATGGCACCGCCAGCCCGGATCCAGGAGCCCCCCGAGGCCACCAAGGGAGGTGGGGGACGGCCCGGGGGGCGTTGGGGACAGCGGGGGTACCCGGCTGACACGGTGACTGTGCCGGGAAGCTGCGGGCGCTGCTGACGCTGCCCTGTGTGATGGCCGCCACCGGGTGTAGTGCTGCGGGTGTAGCACCCCGTGCTGCGGGTGTAGTGCTGTGGGTGTAGCACCCCATGCCACAGGTGTAGCGAGAGCGAGGAAGACAAAGGGCACCCRGGACAGGAAGGCCCAGCTCCCCCTCCTGCCGGGTCCCCGTGCCCCTCCCGCCCGTCCCGGTGCCAAGCGGAATAACCCGGGGGACGTGGAAAAACAAATCACTATTTTTATTTATTTTTTTGCTTTTCGCTTTTTTAAATTCCAGAGTTTTAAAAAAAAAGTGTGGGCCGGCGGGGCCGGGCCGGCCGCAGCGGCTCCCGCCGCCCCGACACCCCCCGAGCGGGTGCGCGGGGGGCAACGAGGCGCCGACCCCTGTGCCCTGGCGCCCCCCCGCGGGGCAGACATGGCCGGGAGGGGACAAGGGACAATGGGGGGGGGGACACGGCAGTGCAGGGGGGACAGCGGGAGCCAGGGCCGGCGCCCGGGCCGGGTGCGTGTGCACAAAGCGCGGGGCGGGACGGGGGGGACACCGATGACGTGACACGGGGGGGCCACCCCAGCAGGGACAACACAGGCAAGGGGACAAACCGGACAGGAGGGTCCTTGTGTCACACGGCGAGGAGGGGCTGTGGGGGCGCCGGGGCCCCGGCGCGCGCTGCCAGTCCGGGGGCCGCGCGGCGCCGCCGTCAGTGGCTGTCGCTCTTGATGACGATCTCGACGCCGTGCTGGCGCAGCTGCGCCCGCAGGATCAGGTTCTTGTTCTTCAGGTCCTCCACCTGGCGGGGGGACACAGGCGTGAGCGGCACCCCCCGTGTGTCACCCTGCGTGTCACCCTGCGTGTCCCCTGTGTGTCACCCCGCGTGTCCCCCCCGTGCTGGCGCAGCTGCGCCCGCAGGATCAGGTTCTTGTTCTTCAGGTCCTCCACCTGGCGCGGGGGGTGTGAGCGGCACCCACTTTGTGTCCCTCCGTGTCACCCACCGTGTCACCCCCCACGTGCTCCTCTGTGTTACCCACTGCGTGTCCCCCCTGCGTGTCACCTGCCACGTGTCACCTGCCACACACATGAGCAACACCCGTGTCCCCCCATGTGTCCCCTTGTGTGTCACGCACCACACGTGACTCACCACGTGACCCTCTGTGTGTCCCCCACCATGTGTCACCTGCCAGGGGTCACCCATTCTGTGACCCCTCATGTGTTATCCACTGTGTGTCACCCCCACATCCCCCACCGTGTCACCTCCGCATCACCCTCTGCATGTCACCCTCTGCATGACATCTGTGTCCTCCCCGCACGTCCCCCCATGTCACCCACATGTCCCCTCCATGTGTCACCCTGTGTGTCCCTGCCGTGCGTCACCCCTCCACATGTCCCCCCGCGTCATCCTCAGGGTGTCCCCCTCACATGTCCTTCCACACGTCACCCTCCCGCGTATCCCCTCCATGTCCCCCCGCGTGTCCCCACCTCACCTGCTGCCTCAAGACCTCGTTGTCCATCTGGAGCTGGTCGAGGCCCTGCAGCTCCTCGGACAGGCGGTGGTTGCTCTGCCGCAGCTCCTGGATGTAGTCGCAGGCTTTGGAGAGGATCCCGCCCTTGCTCTGGACACCAGGAAAGATCCCGGGATGTGAAACGGAGCCTGGGACGCCCCGGGACCCGGCTGCCCCCCGGCCCGGCTCCGCTCTCGGCTGCCGTGGGAATCGGTTCCTCAGCCGGCAGCGCATCCCGGTGCTGGGGCCGGCTCCCTGCCCCACGTCACCCCCGCGTGCGGGACACGCAGAGCGGGGCTCCCACCTGCCCCGACTTGGTGTTCTCCATGGAGCAGTCCGGGATGATCTTGGAGAGCTGCACGATCCAGTTGTTGATCTTGTCCCGGCGCCGACGCTCCACTGCGAGCGGGAAGAGAGCGGAAGCGTCGGCACCAGCCCGGAGACCCCCGGGGGGCCGAAGCGTCTCTCCTCGGGCCCAAAGCGGGCGAGAGGACGGGCAGCGCCCCCGGCGCCCTCCTGCCTGGGGACAAGGGCCCTGGGAGGGCAGCGCCTGGCACTAGGGGCCCGCAACCCTCGGGAAGCCTGGGAAAGGGAGGAGGAAGCACCCAAACGGCCTCGGCTGTGCGCGCGGAGCCGCCTCCGGCCGCTGCCCTGGCCAGTGGGATCGTCCCAGCCCGGCTCTCGGGGACGGACACCGGGGTCCGCGCGTGGCGGGCAGGCGGGCGGGGGGACAAGCCGTCCCTGCCGGCGCGGCCCCGGCTGCCGGAGCTCCGAGCAGCTCCTCTGGGAGGCAAAGCAGCGGGACTCGGCAGCCTCTCCAGCGCGGATCCTCCGATTCCACCTGYGACGGCGCCTCGGTGCCGGGCTCGCCGCGGGACGCCGTGTGGGTGCCTTACCTGCCGCCCGCAGGGCTCCCAAGCCTTGAGGGTCTCTCAAGTTTACTCTTCTTAGCTCTGGCTCCCCTGCTCCTCATTATTACTGCTCTCCCATGGGAGGGTTTACCCTTAACTGATAAGAGCTTGGGGATCTGTCCTTAGAGCCTTTCCATCTAGGTGGGAACAGACCAAGAGTTAACCCGGGGAAGGCTGCGCTCGCTGACGCTCCTGCGGGCCCCGCCGCCCCCCGGGAGAGCTGCCGCCCGCCGCGCCGGCCCCGCTCCCGGCGCTACCTTCGTTGTGCTGCGCTCGGCGCTTCTCGTCACGGGTCGTCCGTGGCGCCTCTGACTTCCTACGGGAAGAGCGGAGCGCGCGTTCGCTCCCAGGGATGCGAGCAGGGCCCTTCCGGCGCCGCGGGAGCCGGGATTCGGGCCACGGGCCACACAGCCTCCGCTCGGAACGGGGACGGCGGCGCCGGAGGCAGAACGGGCACGACCCAACCGTGGCCCCGAGGGGGCTGCGGCCTCCGTCCCGGCGCCCCCGAGCGCTTCCCGTCCCGGCGCGGCCGCGGCGCGCGCACTCACGGGGAGTAGGGATGCGTGCGGGGCGCGATGGAGCGCTGCGCGCCGCCCGGCAGCACCTCCTGCGGCGACATCATCACGAAGAACTGCCCTGCGT